ACTTTTGTGCTAAACGTAAGTTTACAGTAATTTTTTCAGCCACTTTGGCTGCTTTTTCGCCTTGATCGAAGAAAAATTGTAAAATATAGTAAATTTTCTCTTTGCTGGTGTCCATTTTTGGCGAGCGCTCACAACGTACTGAGTCAATCAATCGAAAAACTGTCAAAGGCTAACTTTTAGCGCGAATAAACACGTTTTCAGCGCCGTACAGTATGACATAATGCGATACGTAAAACTAATGCTATGGACAATAACGCCATCTCTTAGATAAAAGCCGAGCCAACTTTTTTACTTGACCTAATATAATATGTCGCCAAGGCTCTAATATAATAAAGGATTAACTCCAATAATTGAAAATTATTGAAAAATTAACCCAACGAAAGGACGTCCTTAACGTTCAATTCAGCCTGCTAAGATTTAACAGCACACTTCGATTTTAACTTTTAGAAATATCTGTTAACGATTTAACATTAACGATAGCATTTCCTTTCGGGTAAAGAGAATAGAAATTTATTTTGAGAACTGCTTTAATACTTCGCTATGTTTCAACCGAATCGATGGAATTTTTTTTGATTATCGCGAATTTATCGTTGTGACGTAGCCCCGAAATATCGATTATTTATCGATTAAAACCGTTGGGTGGATAAAAAATATTTTACAATTATTAATGACAATAATGTTAATCATTAAGTGTTTGCCACAAGATGTGGTTACTTGGCTATACTTTCTAATTGACTTCAATAATGGTGAGGAATACAGTGGAGGCGCCTTAATGATATCAAGCAAAAAATCGTCTACACACTTTAAATGGGAAAATTAGTAGCAGAAAAGCAATTAGTAAGGACACAGGTGTACATGAATAAATAATGGCAATTGATTTCGTTGTGATAATAAATTCTAAATAATCTACAAAGTAATTAATTTCACTGGAAATGTGAAATCGAAATGCACACAAACGTACATAAATAATTTACAATGAGAAAAAAGCAGCACTTTTATTGCAACAAAAATTAAAATATATAATATTATATAAATAACATAAGCAACTTGTTGGTATGTACATATGTACATACAAATAATTTTCCACATTTGCCAACAGCAGCACAATTCCAACTAATTTCCACACAAATATCAGCGATTATCTCAGCTACTTTGTATTCATGCACTGCATGTGGCACACAAGTCAGTTGCAACATCAGCGGTGGCAGCAGCAGCAGCAATAGCAGCAGCAGCAGCACCAGCCAAAGTAGCTCAATCTCAAAAAAACCAGAGAACGTTGCTCTTTGTTGCCTTTCTTCTTTGTTTTGTCTACGATGCGATACGATACGTGCAGCAACACGAAGGACATCATGTGCAGCCAGCAATTTATGTGCTGCAGTGTTTGTTTGCTTGTGCATTTGTGTCTTTAATTGTATCTCCTTTTGTTTATGTTCCACTGGCTGAAAACAAAGCGACGGCGAAAAAATCGTTTTCTGCCTGTTGTGGGAACCTTCAGCTGTTTCTGCTCCTGCTACTGCGACAGCTGCTGTTGCTGTTGTTGTTGTTGTTGTTGTTGTAACAACTTTCACTTGCTGCGGCAACAACAACAGCAACAAGTTTACTGTAAAACAACAAATCAATGGCGGTGCCTACGGCGTGCATTGTATTATATGAGTATGCATATGAGGCAGCTGTCGGTGCTTCTTGCCCCAAATACTCTTGCAACATGTCTCGTTATGCTTGCCACAACATTTATGTGTCGTTTGTGGCAAAAGACAAGTGGGTGAGCATATACATATGTAAGTAATTCTAACTATCTGAAAATGTAAATTTGCAAGTGTGTGTGTATATATAAAAGAGTCTGAGCAAACAGAGATTTTTTTTTAGAAAAACAACTCCAAAGGAAGACTATGAAATGGGGGGAAAGTTGGAGCAACATAGATGACTTCTCTTATTCTTGGACTAGAAAAAGTAAACAATTAATAAAATTATCGGCGCTCAGGTGGAACTGAAATAGCGGGACCAGCTGGACTGCCCTGACGCAGGTATAATTCTAACCTTTGTCATCAGGATGCGACCTGGGCACAGTGTTTCTTTCGAACCCTCACAGCAATCATAACTATATAACATAAAATCCACATATAAAATAAATATCCATGATGTAGTTAAGGCACATAAGACACGGAAGCCTAATATGCGTTTAAAATCTCCAACACTAAGAAAGTTTCATTATTCTTTTCTTCCGGAAGATTTTTTCGATACTCTTCTTCTTTCTAACTTCACACATCTGCATTAAGACGTATCAAATGAAGCCCTACTACGCTTTTGGGAAGGTCGCAGCGCAGGTTGAGTTAAGACCCCACACGTCGTTAATTAGTTAGAGGTCTTGATGATCTACTCCTCCTTTTGCTAGGTTCTGGTAAAGCTCTTCACATGACTACTTTTCGGCTATAGCCGCGGCAACTGACGTCCGTCACAAGATTTTCACCGTCTGAAAACACTATCGGCCAAACTATTGTGGGTTTTTAACTGCACATTCAATCAGGCGAAGGCTAAGTGGTTTCTTATTTACTAAGAGAGACCTCGAGGAGTCTCTCGGCATACATGAGATTCAGCTTCCGTTTCCGAGTTGATGACGCCAAATCAGAATTTACGAGAGCGAAACTAAATGGACAATAAAATAAATGTCAAAGAATACCTACATCGCAGTTTTACCAAATGAGGTCACCAGAAAAATAGAAAAAGTTCCCCGAACAGTTTCGAGCTTTTTCAGTAGCAGAGAGGATCTTTCAACAAGTGAATTTCCTGCAACTATAGTGATACCGTCTTTTATGGAGGTTCTTTGAGCACGGAATCCCAGATGACCCAGATGACACATGCGTATTTACATCTGCCTGAGAGTCCACGAGCCACAGGATCCCCACTACCGAAGGCATACGTGAGTACCCTATTGCCCATTGGGGTCATTAGTTCGCAGATTCAAGAGAAAGTGTTGTTTATTGTTGGTGTGGTTGCATTGTGGCGCCCATTGCAATAATCGTCTCATAGTTTCTTCTGACGTTTCCCAACAGCAGTTGGAGTGAAAAACAAAATAACCTACATGCGATATAAAAATAATAAAAACAACTGAAATTGCATAAGAAAAAAAAAACATGAAGAAATATAAATAACTTTGTAGGATTATGTGTGTCGTTGAGCTGACATTTGTCGTTCCACTGTGAACCACAAAACGATTTTGGCTCCTGCTGAATGCCCCACAAGAACTATAGTCATAGCTAGTTTCCGCACTAAATGGGCCAGGTCCCAGCTCGGTTGCCATTAGTTGCTGCTGGCGTTGGCACGCTGTGTGTTGTTTGCGGTTGAGCTGCGCTGTCAGCGGCAGCGTTCGAGTCGTCGTTTGCTTTTGCTTTTTAGTTTTCCATTTACCATTTTCTATTTCTTGCTGCAGCCGTTGCTTTGGCTTATCTAAATGCGACCTGTACACATGCAAACGATAATTCACTCGTAATTCACCCTTTTTGCTGCATATAAATGTCGTTGTAGCAACTGCCATGGCACCCCCCAAGGAATGTACCGACATACATATATATGTTCAAAGGTATGTATTGAGTTGTACAAGCATACAAAGTGCTGGCAGCTAACAGCTGATGAAGCTGAAAAGGAAATGCGTTGGCTGCAGTTGAAGAAGCCTTTCATCTGTTGGATACACTTGTATTTCCCGTGGGTGTGTTTTTCTCTTTGAAAGGTGTACACTGTGCACAGTGGGCTGGAGTTCATGAAAAGTTGGTAAAGAAATGTGTATGCGAATTGAATTTAAAAAAACCAAAGCTCGAAATTACAAAACCTATAACCTATAACCGATTCGAAAATTCAGTAAAAGTCGCTTTAAAGCGCCATTAATGAGTAAAATACATCATAAGTCAGTTGAGAATTCTTGTTTATTTCGAATGAAATAGTTCCTCTCTTCAAACTAACTTTCCACTTATTAAGTTTTACTGTGCGCGCATTGCTGCATGCCAACAGTTCACTTTGAAACATCGCAAGGTAGTGAGGAAAGATAGAGAGAGGGAGAGAGTGAGAGAGTGAGAGAGGTAATGGTGTAGTTGGCATGTGCTAAAGATAATGTTCATATTTATTAATGTCTTTTTACGGTATAGGCACACACTCACACACATATGCACACCCTCTAAATGCGTGAATGGTATGTGAGGCTTATCAAAGCGACGGCATACACAAGTTTTTATGTTTCTCATGCTCTTTTTTTTTTTTTTTTGAATTAGGATTTATCTCAAAAGATGTTTTCGTTGTCGTTTCGATTCCACAATTTCCAAGCACCGAAAAGCGTGGCGGCTCGCCGAGAGGTCTACACTTTGCGACAAACCCAAACTGTCGGCAATTTTGAATTTTCCAACACATTTCATTTGGGAATACACATTTGGGTAGAAAGTTCAATTGCTTGCGGTTGTCGGCCTACACTTTTGTTGCTGTTGCTGCTGGTGTTGTGTTGCATGGCAAATAAGCGAAATGAAATGAGAAATTATAAAATCATGTTGATATTCGAATTCGTCACTCATTCCGCCATAATCGTTATTTGAGTTAAGAAACTTGATTTTCTATTGTTGTTGTTGTCGTCGTTATGTGAACACGTGTTGTCGACATAAAAAGAGAGAATTTCGCTTAAAATCTCTAAATCGTGTTTTCGTGCTTTGAGTGGCATTTCAAGGGATTTGTCGCTAATAAGAAATTACAAACCAAAAGAAAGAGGGGGGGGGGAAGGAGGCGAAGGAGTGTCTGTAACGATTAAAGTTGGGGAATGAGGCAGCAGCAACAACAAAAAAAAATTAATGTAAAATGAGTATAAGAATAATGTCAAAATTAAAATTGAGATTTTCCGTTGCGACACACATATACGAGTATACATATCAGCGTTGAGTCTGTTGACTTGTGTGCACTTGTGTATTAATATGTATGTAACATACATTATATACATATATAATATACATATAATTGTATATATGTACCTGTGTCAACTGCGATGAGGCATAATATGATATTCTCGAGGGGCAGATCGATTCTGGCTTAGAGTAAATTGTATCTCCGATTTGATGATCACCGCCCACGGGCAGCAAGGCGGTCGCATAGGGCGAGGGCGTCGGCGTAGAGCTGCGAAATCCTGGAAGGAGAAAATGTAAGAAAAATACAGTTATGTATAAATATATATACTTTTTCCCCACCCCTCGTAAGCGCATTTATGATTTGCTGCTTCATACTACAGCGACCGAGCGACCCAATTGCATGTGTGATGTGTGGCAAAAGCGAAAGAAATCGATATTTTAAAGTTCGAAATTTATTACTCGTCTTTTGGCAGACTGCCAAGGAGAAATTTTGATTGCTTTGCGGGTGGGCGTTTGGCACATTTAGTGCGCCAAAAATATATCTGCTGTAATTTTTGCAAGTTTTTTTGATTTCTTTTTTCGTAAAATGAAGCATTTTTACTTAGCAATCACTGAAGTTATTTTTCCAGAGTATAGTGTGAGAGAGATATCGAGAGTTAAAGAGAAAAATTAGACTAATTAGCAGACGGGAAAAGAGAGTGGCCGAAGCTCGAAAGTAAAAAGAGATTGCGCGAAAAGGCCTTGGGAAACTGGCCTGGCAAGGCAAATGAGCGAACATTCCTTGAGAAGATAGGGTGACTTAGAGCAAGTTTCAGAACCGAGATATACTCATACATAGAGGAAACAACGACGTTATCTGGCGATCCATGTTCGGAGCATGCTGAATTTGTGAGAGGAGCATTTCTCCAGCCTAGTCCCAACCTATGAGAATGTAATAGATGTTCGGTTACCCGAATATGAGGGACGAACAATCATCGAATACCCGACTGAAGAGCATAAAAGCAATTGGCGAAGACCTCAAGAAGTGCTGCATCAGCTTCTTCAGATCGATGTATTCAGTTAAGTGCGATTAGACTTAATCTCGAAAAGCCAAGATTCTAAATGCTGCACTAATATTAATGAGATAAGTCTCTTCGGCAGGGTTTGCCAAGTCCTCCAATGGTATTTTTATTTGATATGAAATAAAAGCTCCTCATATACATCCATCGCTTCAAAGCGGCTTAGCATAAACTATGGATCCTTCCATTCGTTGGGAAAACATCGAGACGCAGGTCATAAATTGCTGGAGGAGCTCGGCCTTATATGGCTTCAGTTCAGCTTTGAAATTTGTCGATACTGCTTCTGTCGGTGTTAGAAGAGTAATAGGAAAACCGTGGAGATTTGTCAAAAAATAGGGAGAGAAGGATTCGGCTGCACTTCACGTCTCCGACGACTGGCATTCTATTCGTGATTCGGCTCTAGTTGGTTGGCTAAGAAGGGAGGTTGAGCAGTGGCTTATTGTGCTCTCCGGCTGATTTGGCTATTATCGCTTAAGTCTATGTCAATCAAAGATAGGGAGCAGAGGAATATTATGTTTAGTTATTTACTTCTTCTCCATAGATTTGTTGTAATATAGCGATATATAAAAAAAATATACTGAAATATGCGCATCGAAATCCACTTTAGCACAAAGGCCATACCGAGTTTTTGAAATTTGACCCGAATCGTTAATTTCGTCCCTGGATGTTCATCCACCGGCGCACTCGATAATAAAACAATATTTTACCACGAAATGCTCCATAAAAAGAAGAGAGAAATATTCATTACTGAAGCTAATTTAAGATGGAGAAGTCTCAACAAATGTAATGTGGCCAGATCAATACGGCCAGAATGGAGCAATAGAAAGTCACGTGACCTTATCGAGCTGAAGAGAATGATATGTCTGCAGGTCTTCTAATAGGATATATCTTATTGGGCAGACACGCAGAGAGATTGAAGAAGTTGCAGTCAGGAAAAAGCTCCGGAAACTTTAAGCCACTTTCTTCGCGAATTTCCCATACTTTGGAGGAATAGGCTGAAGTCTCTAGGAGCGGTAACCTATGGAGACCTGTACGAGATAGCGGGGGCTAAGCCACGGCAACTGCTTAGTTTTGCAAACTCCCCGCGCTGGTACGAAGATTAGGTGCGGGTCTTTTGGATCCTCAATGGTATCACAATGGGCTCGCTCGGGTCCTCAACCAATCAACCATGCTCCATATATTACTCGCCTAGATGGTAATTTTGTTAGCTGAGAATTTTAAGTATATCTTTGATTCGGTTTTGATAACTCAAGCTCATCGTATAACTCAGAAGAATTTAAAGTTCATTTCCTGATTTTTATGGAAATGGAAATTTGTTATTTACTTGGAGCATGTTTGAAGGGAATAAGGATTTTTAGTGGGATCTTTGACACGTCATCGGCCTAAGTGTTATTTCCCTTTATATGTAATGACTCTCGATAACTTGCGATGACTTCCTAAAGCTTGGGTCCTACATGAAGGCAAAGAAGATCGGTGATTGTTCAAAGACCCAAGACCTAAAAGGACAAGTAAGCTCATGAAATCAGTATTCAAATTCAGAACTTTATTCGGCTCGGGTAGTCAAGCGAAGGCTCAGCGTAGAGTACTTTGGAGCGTATATGAAGTGAACATTCCCAAACATCCATTGAACTGAAAGGGTGAAACAACATATTGATAGAAGATTACTTCAGGGTTAAACCCAATTGGAAGCATAACTACTGTTCTTATGAAGCCACGAGTCTTTGAAAATTACTGAGATGCTAAAAAATGGGCTCGGAGTATGCTCCATATATATAGACTAACTAAAATATATATACCTTCATCTACATATACTTACTATCGAATATATTGCAAGACTTCTTCGACTCCGATGGATATTTATTCAGGCTAGCTATAGTTGCATAGGAACCACTATTCGCGCTGGGTGGGCGACCCAACGGATCCAGGCGTATGAAAACATTCTGATGACTGCCATAAGCGGCGGTTGTGAAGCTGGTACTACGAAAATTAAATATACGAAGAAGAAGAAGAAAAAGCAGGGAAAGAGAAGAACAAGAAAAAATAAGAAGAAGAAGAAAAAGAAGCAGAGAAACAAGATGAAAATACAAATGAAAACAGGAATAAAATTTACATTAAATTTCATAAATATAAATGCATCACCGCCCCACACACAGCCACCACCCCGCATACTCACTGCAACGAATCCTGCCGTATTTGCTTGCGCGCACGCACATACATCGCCGATGCAATCAGACTAAAGACCAACACCAAACCGAGCGCACAAGCGGCCGCGCCCAATAGAGTGTGACCCGGTGAGGGCGCCTGAGCGGGTGCTGCTGATTGATTGGGTGCAGGAAACAGACCTAGTCGGGGGAAGAGAGAAGGAGAAAGGAGAAAGAAGAATTGTAAAATCCGCATTTAAAAATGCAACGTCTCTGTGCAAGGCAATATCATTCGGCCCGTTGTGATATATGCGCATAAAAAGATTAGTTTTACAGCGAGCTGCGTTGAGCTCCGCCACTTGGCTGTCGCTGCTTACCTTTGAGGCAGATTTTATTCCGTTTAAAATGCAATTTAGTGTCATTAGTGCGCGGCGGTCCGCTAACTAGCATATTGACGACAAGCGGCACCTCCTTATTGCCATCTCCCGTGCAGGGTAAATGCACCAGAAATGTCTCTATCTGCTGCGGCACATAACCCCGGTCCGGTATGCTCAGCGTGGGCGCAGCGAGTGCGCTCTGCTCCTGTTCATAGTCGATGGTGATGGTATAGGGCAGCTGAGGGTGTAGCGAAACACATACAGCAGCCATATGTCATGGTTGGTCGGTTTGTTGGATGGTTGGTTGGTTGGTTGTTTGGACGATGGGTCACCGTTTGGTCGTTGGTTGCGCAATTCAATTTATTGTTGTTCCAGAAGTTGCGTTCCGTATGTTTCGTTGTTTTTCATGTTGGCGAGAGAAGGTTAATGAAGTGCAAATTAGATTTTGAGAGTTACACAAATGGTCTAGGTGGTGTGTTGAAGGGGGAGAACTCTGCACGGCCAGACGCTGTGTGTGTGGAATCAAGTGCGTAGCACACACAAGCGCTTGACGACGCTGCCAGCAGCAAGTTCTTTCCAGTTCTCACCTCCACCAACTCATACTCACCGGATACGTGGTCAGACTCTGCCACGAGAACTCTAAATCATGCACATCTGCTGGCACCGGCACCGTAAAATGCATGGCGTATGTGTTAATGGCGCCCTCATGCACATAGAACAAGTCTGCTTCAAGGCCTGTGGGTGTTGCGGAAAAATGGAAGAAAGAAAAGAAAGAGAGAGAGAGAGAGAGAAAAAAACAGTTATTTGAAATATGTCTGCTCGTATGTAGGGCATTAAAACTCAATTTAGTGTTGTATCAATTTTCAAAGAAAAGACATTTTCTGCTCTTTTTCGCCCCTTTTATTATTTCTCCATTTTTTTTTTTTAATTTTTTTTCAATTTTTTCCCCGACATTTTCCAATATTTTCCTTTGCACAGCTGTAACCAACACTACCGGGCGTGCAACAACAAAGTTAGCAACCCCTGAAATGTTGCAGGCTGGCTGCCTGAGCGCGCTCTAGCCTAAATAATGCACATAATTTCGTTTCTGTTGCAGGCTTCGCCGTGGCTTTGATCTTACTTTGTACGAAAAATAAACGATGAAAAACGAATAAAGGCAAATAAAAATTGAGAAAAAAATAGTAAAATACTTTTTTATTAAGCGTTTTGTGCGAAAGCGACACCTTCATCATCGCGCAATCAAATTTCATTGCTTGTACTCGAACAAAAAAAAAAAAAAAAAAAAAAAACAGAAAAGAAATTCCCGATGCTAGACAACAGAGTGGAAAAATACCAAAAAGTAGCGTTTCTGCAGTGAGGGTTGAAAACACTTTGCAATTTATTATTAATACTTTTATATTTACTTGTGACTCTATTTGTAAGCGAGGCGTAGAGAAAAGAAAAAAAAAAATTTAAAAAAAAAACAAAATCTGCCGCGCTTTTACGCACCTTTTAACGCCGCAAAAGGGGGATTTTTTGTTGTTTTTTTTTGCTCGATCTGTGTTCTGCTTGAATCACTACTTAGTACTTTTTTTGTACCAATTCTTACTATGAATGACTCTATTCAGGCAGCGATTTCTTGTCAAAAGCCACTCGATTGTTGGCACACAGAAACACACAACACACATACACTTACAAAGATATAGCAATGCGTTTACCTATTCACAATACATATATACAATAGTTATATGAACGCACGAGGGCTGTTTGGTAAGTCAGGAGTTTTTCAATAAATTTTGAATAATAAATATCCCCAAATTAACGCAAAATTGCAATTAAATAGCAAACAAAGTTTTTAGGCCTTCGATTGTAATTTATTTTGGAATCATAAAGTACATAGGATACGGTTATTTATGAAATAACACATTGGAAAATATCTTCCAGAGCTTTCTGAGTGCGTATCTGACTCGTATATCGAAACTTTCAGTGAATATTTTGCACAAATATGGACGAATTTCTCTCTGATTTCTCAGAACCACGAAATAGGCAATTTTGGTGATTAGCGAATCCGTCACGGTGAAAATGCGCCATTTCAATGACTTGTTTTTTGACGACCAACGTGTTGGGCGTCTCCAACGGAATCCGTCTCCCAGAATTTTTCTGTTGATTTATTGACAATTGACGAGCTTAAAACGCTATTCTGAACAGATTGTATGAAATTTTCGAACTGCTGTCTTCAAGCTTTCAGTATTTTCGAAATACTGTTCAATAATGGAGACACCTCGACCTGGCGTGTAAGGCTCCCTTTTTGCTAAGCCTAATCTGTAAGCTGGGCTTACTTTACAACATAAATGGCGGCAATTTTAAATCTCTGCACAACACAGGCAGCTGTAAATCTTTGAGCAAGCTACGCCATACAGTTTGCGTTTGACAGCCGCTGCAAGCAGAAGTTATCGTAAAATGAAAATGGAAAAAAGTGAATTTCATGTGCCTATTAAGCGCTTTTCTTTGCGCGATGAAACCAACACTGAAACCAAGTAAAGACTTGATAAATATTGTGCAGACTCTATGGTCTCATTGATAAAGAACGGTTTTCAAGAGATCGTACCAGCACAAGTGAGGCCGAACGTTCAGGTCGCCCAAAAGAGCACGCTAGCAATAGTAGAAGGAAGGATATGTGGAATATATATGTGGAGGGATATTGCACGATCGGAGAATGAAAGTGCGTGAGGTGGCTTAGGTTGGAGGAGATGCGCGTGAAAAAAGTTAGCTGTACAAAAGCGCAACCGTGTAACCACATAAGAGGCAGGTGAGTTCATAGCGTCAGTTTCGTCAATACTTTGCCCATAATTTTCACAAAATATGTATATTTCCTCTTCAATTTGCACTTCAGAGAGGCAGACAAGCTCATAGTTTTATACTGCGTTATGTCATATTTAGCCACCACATAACTTCAGGGATGAACCAAAAAAAAATGTCACGTTGGCTCTTTTGGCGAACAAAGAGTTCCACACACAGTTTCTTTTTGACCTTGAAAAGGCTGAACGATAACCTGCGAATAATATTCAGAGCTTTTGGAGAGATACGACAATGGTTTGAAGCAACACAGAAGGAGAACAGCACCTTCAGGTCATGACAAAAATTATTGAATTGAGCTACGAACAGCTGCTACTCCATCCAGCATATTCTTCAGATTTAGCGCCCTATGACTATTTCTTGTTTCCAGATTTGCAGAATCGGCTAAAGCAAGTGAAAGTACTTCAGGTCGAATGAACAGGTCCTCGCAATTATTTTGAGATTTATAAAGCTTAAAGTAGACTTTGTTAAGAGAAAAAATGCTTATTTGCGGGAAAAATATGTTTCACTCAAAAAGTCACTGACTTATCAAACCACTCTCGTAAATACAAAAAGACACAAAAAAAAAATAAAAAAAATAGTAAAAATTAAAAAGAAAACGATTTTATTTCAAAATGGGGGAAAATGGTAATATAATAATAAATCGAGTTGAATGTGTAAAATATGAAAGGGATGTAAAAGGGATAAACTGCCTACAAACCGCTAACACACATACACACACGCATGAACATAAACGAAACATACAAAGTTTGTTCTCCAATTCCTTACTGCGTAGGTTTCATACAAAAGTAAGGCTGAAAGCAGCATACAAAAATTGAGGTTTGTTGTTGCACTGGCATTTGGCGGTGACTGGCTTCTGTACCCTCACATTTTTTTTTTTTTTTTTTTTGAAATTTACTACTTTAAAACGATTTCAAACATTTAATATTGTGGTCACTTATCAATGGGTCACTTTCCTTTCTTACACTTTGTGCCCTTTTTTTGGGACCCTTTATTAACATTAAAAGGTCTGTGCATTACTATTACAATCAAGAGGGTGCTTCAATTAGTGTGTGAGTTTCGTGTGTTTTCACTGTGCCACCCAAGACTTCGGAAATTTTTTTTATATTCCAATCAGCAACAATCTTAGACAGAAAAAGCCCTAGAGTATAAATGTGTGGGGGCCATGGTGGCCGAGTGGTTAGCATAGCGTACTGCCATACGGAAGGCCAAGATTCGAGTCCCGGCCCGACAAACAATCAATAATTATAAAAAATTAATTTAAATAGAAAATAAAGTTAATTTCTCTAATTGCATTTCTGACATAAAATAGAAGGGTCCTCATAAGAAACCATCCGCCGTTCAGAGGCGGCTTAGTCTCTCAATTGTATTTAGAAAATATTAAGACGCACAACCCAAATTGGAGGAGGAGATCGGCCGAAAATCACTTCAGCGTTTACAAAGCGCCAATTTTACTTTCCGACTTTCACCGACCTTCTAAGAGACCGCGGCTTAACTCGAGCATTTCTTTTAAGTCCTTTAAGTTCTCCTCCTTTTTCCCATGCATTTTTATAGCAGTTGATGAACAAATCTGTAGCTTAGTGTAAGATGCAAGTGCAACCGCGATCGGTTTCGGGTTCAGGACAGTCCGGTTTGTTACTGGTTTTCGGTCATCGGTCTGTTGAATTTTTCGATTATCCCTCAGACGCGCCTTTTGGTCGACTGAGCGGGAGATGGGTAATGCTGGGTTTGTCGTTAAAAAAAAATGTGAGCATGTCGTAATACTACCATATAATCCTTAGAGATTTGGCTTTCGAGAGCTCAGCGTCGTTGAACATGTTAGGTAAAGTCGAACTGATTGCCTATTTAAGGAGTCTCAGCTTACGATTAACCAATTTCTGCTTGTGCCCAGAGTCTATTAGCTTGACGAAACAAGGGAATTTCTTCTAGAACTTTCATTTCTTTCGGGGGGACTGACAAGTCCACACTTACGCTGTATTCCAAAATGATTTAATCTCTAACCAATGCAACTGATATCTCATTAAATGCGTTTTATGCTCTCATGACACCCTGACCCCCGTGACATGGGTGATTATACAATAAAAATATGTATAGGTATATATTTGGGTAGATCAGTCCCATGTAGTAGCTCTGACGCCATTTCTTTTTTAAAAAAATCCTCAGCTGTGTGAATTACTGTGCTTTTAATGAGTTCCTAAGTTACGGGCTCTCAGCTATAATGTATTCACGGAAGGGTTAGACGGTACGGGAAGACAGGCTAGATAGCTGCAGTCTTTTCAAGCCGTTAGCTGGAAATAAGAGATACATGGCATCCTGTGAGTAAGACTAACCTTAACTTAAAAAGCTATGCGGATATTATCGTCCCGGGTTCATTCAACGTTAGAGCAAGATCCAAAAGAAGTCCAAAATTAAGTTATTTAAAACTCTAAATATCGGAAATGTCCAGCTTGGCAGATTAACTTGACCTAAAATTTCCTCCTCATCAGTCAAGATAAATTCGTTTTCTGAGAATACGAGATAATAAATATTTGACAAAATCAATGAACATTGTTACATTTCGATTACTCAATCAAAAGAAAATCTCACCCACGCAATTTGAATTCAATTCTGTGTAGTTAAAATCCCTAATGGTGGCTCCGCCATCAAGGCAACTGCCACTTTATTAGCACTTTAAACTATGCTTAAAACGCACTTAACCGCCATAAAATTGGCCACGAATACGAAGTGCTAAACTGAATAACTGTTCTTCGTAACCGAGCTCATCTCCATACCACCAACGGCGCTTTTGACTTCCCTCCACGTAGGGGCAACGAGGACGTGGAGTTACGCAGCGAAGCATAAAATCGTCAAATGTCAATCGAACCCGCAGAGAGAGGGAGGAGAGAGAGTGGCGCTTTAGT